ATATGGATATAGCTCTCCTTTAATTCTTCTGAAATAAAAAATAGTCCTGGGGGCGCCTGGGTGGCTCAGTCAGTTAAGCGTCTGACTTCAGCTCAGGTCATGATCTGGCGGTTTGTGAGTTTGAGCCCCACATTAGGCTCTGTGCTGACAACTCAGAGCCTGGAGCCTGCTCCGGATTCTGTCTCCCTTTCTCTCTGCCCCTCCCCTGCTCACAGTCTGTCTCCGTCTCTCTCAAAAATAAATAAACATTAAAAAATTTTTTTAAAATAGTCCTGACATTATGGGCACCCGATCTAGTACATGAAATAGTCCCTGGCATCACCAGCAGGTTTTGGCTCCACATTTTAAACCCAGATATAATGTTTAGGAAACTTTCAGACAAACTTAGAATATGAAACATCTTACATGGCAACTGGACTAGACTTGTCCAAAAAATAAGTATCAGGGAAAAAAATAAAAGAAATTAGAAAAAAGAAATTAAAGGGGCGCCAGGGTGGCTCAGTCAGTTAGGTGGCCAACTTCGGCTCAGGTCATGATTTCGCAGTTCATGAGTTCGAGCCCCACGTCTGACTCTGTGCTGACAGCTCAGAGTCTGGAGCCTGCTTCGGATTCTGTGTTTCTGTCTATGCCCCTCCTCTGCTCATGCTCTCTCCCTCTCTCTCTCTCTCAAAAATAAATTTAAAAAACATTTTAAAAAAAGAAATTAAAAAGACATAATAAACAAATGCAATGAATAATCCTTGACTAGATTTTATAGTAAAAAATCCATTCCAAAAACATATTTTGGAATAATTGGAGAAATGGGAATATGGGTTATATATATTATTATGTAATTATTATATCATATTATGCAATTATTGCTAATTTTCTTAGGTATAAAAATGGTATCGTTCTTGTAGAGGAGATCATCCGTATCCTTACAAGATACATGCTGAAGTATTTAGGAATGGTGTCTGAAACTTGTTTTTTGTTTCCAAATGCCCAGCCAAAACAAATAAAGAAATATGAGACAAGAAAAATAAATGTGGCAAAATATTAACACTTACTGAGTCTAAATCAGTGATTCTTTTTAAAAGAATTTCTTTTTCTTTGTAGAGAGAGAGAGAGAGTACACAAGGAAGAGGGTGAGAGAGAGAGAGAGAGAGAGAGAGAATCCCAAGCAGGCTCTGCACTCAACCCATTGCTCAACATGGGGCTCAAAGGCTCAGTCACAACCCTGGAATCACGACCTGAGCCGAAATCAAGGGTTGGAGGCTCAACCAACTGAGCCACCCAGCCGCCCCAGTGATTCTTAATTATCAGGATTTTGTCCTCTTCCCAGAATGCACATGGCAATGTTTGGAGACACTGCTGTTGTCATAATGGTTTGGGTGAGTGGGTGGGGCTACTCAGGGATACTGCTAACTAACCTACAGTGCAGAGGACAGCCCCCACCACAAAGAATTATCCAGCCTAAAATATAAGTACTACCAAGGTTAAGAAACCTTGATCTAGATAAAAGGGTATATGGGTGCCCATTGTAGCATTCTTTCAACTTCTGTCTGGACTTAGGAAAATAAAAAGTTGCAAATAAAGTTAGCCCTAAAAATGACAAAGAGCTTGCTCACTTGTGCTCACTCTCTCTCCCTCACTCTCTCTCAAACACACACACACACACACACACACACACACACACACATTCACATTCTCAGAAAATTTCTGTCTTCCACTGTAACATTAGAAACATAACCTCACGCACACTTGCAGGGAGAATTTGGGTAAATATCTACCATGCACCAGAGTTTCCCCTTTCATTCTATGTAGCATGGGCTGTACATGCTAAGCAAACATGGGCTGTAACATGCTAAGCAATTTTTCAGGTCTCCATATCAGTTAACCATCTTTCATTAATGCCACTGGGGATGGAGGTGGCTAAAATGCACACAAAATTGAAGTAAGCATTATTCATTACTTTCTATTTGACTCACTTTCATAATCATGAAACTAAAGGTCAAAATGTAAATAGATAAATATATATTTGCTTACATGAATGCAAATATTCTCTGGATGGAATCTTTGATAGCATTAGTTACTTCTGGGGAGGAAAATTAGGGGGAAGACAAGAGGTGGGAGGGAGACTTTTCCATTCATAGCCTGCTGTAGCTTTTGAATTTTGAACTCTGTGAATATATAATTTATTCAAACAGCATATTTAAATTATTTCTAAAAATGCAACTAGCTCTATGCACAGTAACACTGATTCATCAGCAGATAGTATACTTGAGTATAGGAGACATTCTTAGAATCAATTTTGTTAGCCACATCAGTGTGATTATCAATGTTAGGACTCTGGGTTTGTTTTCTTTGTAGTTTTTTGGGTTTTTTGTATAGAGTTTTTTTTTTTAGAGAAAATTAGGTTTATTTTGCAGTATGTTTTTATATGCAGCAGCTTACTTTAGAAAGGATGTCATACGAGAACCAAAAATACCTCAATTCCAGTCTGGGCTTCGATAGTTACTAGTTCCAGACATGGAATCCAATCTCTTTCCTGAGACTGGATGGTAAAAAGAATATATATGGCACTCTCCCACTCAGAAAATTCTGATTCTATCCCCACATAATAAACATTTCTTGAAAATACAGGAAGAAAATAGAAGGAAGGAAAGGAGGAAGGAAGGCACTTCCTTCTAGTGATGATAGCCCTGGTATAGGTGTCACATCCTTCTCTCTTTTTTAAATTTTTTTTTTTAATATTTATTCATTTTTGAAAGACAGAGACACAGCGTGATCAGGGGAGGAGCAGAGAGAGAGGGAGACACAGAATCTGAAACAGGCTCCAGGCTCTGAGCTGACAGCACACAGCCCGAAGCAGGGCTCGAACTCACAGACCGCGAGATCATGACCTGAGCAGAGGTAGGATGCTTAACTGACTGAGCCACCCAGGCACCCCACATCCTTCTCTTTTGGGGTATTACATCTCTCTTTTTTTAAAAAACATTTTACTTTTTAATGTAGTTTTTAGATTATTCATTTCGAGAGAGAGAACACAAGCAGGGAAGGGGCAGAGAGAGAGAGGGAGAGAGAGACAGAGAGAGAGAGAGAGAGAAAGAAAGAAAGAAAGAAAGAAAGAAAGAAAGAAAGAAAGAATCCCAAGCAGGCTCCATACCCAGCACAGATCCTGACATGGGGCTCAATCCCACAACCCCAAGATCATGATCTGAGCTGAAATCAAGAGCTGGACGCTCAACTGACTGAGCCACCCAGGTGCCACTTGGGTATTATATCCCTTAAAGACCCTTCCTAGAGACTCCACATTACACATGTTTTGAGGAAGAGACAGAAAGATGCTGATGGAGAGACAAAGAAGACAAAGGAAGTGGATGTGGAAGGGAGGAACAGGTGGAGCACAGGGGATTTTTAGGTCCGTGAAAATACTCTGTAAGATACAGTGATGATGGGTACGTGTCATTATGTATTTGTTCAAACCTTTAGAATGTACAGCCATGAGCATGAATCCTAATGTAAACTACGGACTTGGGTGATAATGATGCATCAATATAGATTCACCCATTGTAGTAAATGTACCACCCTTGTGGGGGATATTCATAATGGGAGGGAGGCTATACATGTGGGGGCAGGGCTACATGAGAGATCTCTGTACCTTCCTCTTGCTGTAAACCTAAAACTGATCAAAAAGTCTATTTTTTTTTTAAAGAAGACAAAGTGGGGGGGGGGGCATCTGGGTGGCTTAGTTGATTAAGCATCCAACTTTTGATTTAGACTCAGATTATGATCTCAAGGTTCACAGGATCCAGCCCTGCATTGGGTTCTGCACTGACAGTGCATACCCTGTTTAAGATTCTCTCTCTGCATCTCTCTCTGTCCCTCCTGTGTTCACTCTCCCTCTCTCTCTTTTGCTCTCTCAGAAATAAACACTTAAAAACTCCATTTAAAAACACTTTTTGAAATAATTGGAGAAATGAGAATATGGGTTACAAGTATTATTATCAAAATAAATAAATAAAGATTAAAAATAAAAAGGCAAAGGAACACAAGAGAGATACAGAAGGTTTTAAAAGAGAGCAGAGCCAGACAGAGAGGTGGGGGAGGGAGGGAGGGAGGGTGAGAGAGAGAAAGACAGAGAGAGAGAGAGAGACCAAAGCTAAGAAAAAAAACAGGGACTGACAGAATGAGACAGAGCCAAAGGAACAGAATCAGAGAGAGACCAAAATAGAGACAACTAGCCAGAAAAGACAGAGAAAGAGAAACAGACACAGACACAGATGGACAGACAGAGACGGAGGGAGGGGGAAATGGGGCATACAATGACTGGACAGTACAAAGCTATTATTTTAAGATGGGTTGAGATGGATGGAAGGGCCCCATGTGGTCACTTACAAAGCCACAGCCATCCTCGTCCAAGAAAGGGTGGGCTTGCAGCAAGGCGTTGACCACGTCATTGTATTGCTGGGTGCTGGGATACCTGTTCAGTGCAACAAGAAGGACATTTTTCACTTCAAGCAGCCCAATTTCCCTCCTATGAGTCCAAATTATACTCACTTTTCTTCCAATCCTTCTGTATAACAATGTAGACATTCAAATATTGGGCAATGTTGGACTTATTACTAATATGTCATCCAAAATCTAAGGAAAATTGGTTCCAAATGAATTCTACTCTACTCCGAAAACAGACCCTCTCCCAGAGCACGAAGTCTGGCCTATTATTACTCACAGTGAGCCTTCCAGATACTTAGTCATGTCGGCCTGGAGAAACTCAATGATCCTTATCCTCATGCTGTGATCGGGACACTTTTGTTCTGCTAACATGCACTTGACATCATAGGGAAACTCTGGTAAAACATACGACTTAGTCCATTGCAATGCTTTATTCCTTGCTACAACATGTTTCACATTCCTTCTGTTAAATAAAAACACACAGAGTGAAATTCTATTTCAAATAGATGCAACTTATGAATTCTCTACATCCCAAGAAATGTGGAATTAATCAATCCTTCTCACACCCGTTCATCTATCCACAAATGTCTGGGAGGGCTCATTAGCTATCTCTGTTTTCTTTCCCTTTGCACACACATAAATAATTTGTAGTTCTGGGGGAAAAATATCTTAATAAAATAGACTGTGGAATAAAGCCTAAAGTTGGAAAGAAGATTGAACCATATATCTTGAAGATATGTGATGCATGGCTCAAAATTGAACAAGATACCAACTAAAAGAGAGTAAGCTGCAACTCAGCAAAGCAAAAGAGGCACACAAATAAAGTCTTGGTGCCTGATTAAGAAAGTTCTTCTAATTAATTTATTCTGTTACTGTTTATAGTGAAATACAGGATCCACTTAATTTAGTTGGTCTTTGGCTACTTTTTAAATCTATTTTTATTTTTTAATTTAATTTTATTTATTTTTTTCTTTTTAGAGAGAGGAAGAGTGAGCTGATGAAAAGGGTAGAGGAGAGAGAGAGAGAGAGAGAGAGAGAATCTTAAGCAGGCTCCACACTCAGCACAGAGCCCGACAGGGACTCAGTCCCACAACCTTGGGATTATGACCTGAGCCAAAATCAAGAGTTGGCTGAGGCACCCCAGTCTTTGGCTATTCTAATAAGGTAAGCGTAGTTTCTGAATTAAAAGTACATGTCAGATACTTACATTCAGATGAAGTTTGTACAAAAGGCTACAGAAAACTATAGCTACAGAAACCAAATCAAGCTCATCAGTGTTTACTGGGGGCTGCAGGTTGGAGTGGGGACTGACGGCAGAGGGGCGCAAGGGGAGTTATTCAGGGGGATGGAAGTGTTCCAAAATGGATTGTGGCAATGACTGTGCACCTGTACAAATGTGCTAGAGTTAACTGAGCTGTATATTTTAAATAGATGAACTTCATGTTACGTAAACGATACTCCAATAAAGTTATTTATAGAATTAAATATGAGAACCACTTGAAAACCCTCAAGTCAGTAACTGAACATTAAGTGTGTAAAAAGAAGAATCTATAGGAAAATTTCCACACAACTTATCAGGGGCAATAGGCTTGCTTTGGGATGGAAGTGAAGTAGGAGAGGCGAGCCAAGTAGAAGACAAAGAACAGAAGGATTTCCTGAATCAGCCTAAGTAGATTTATTTTCTGGCACGCCCATGGAATCCTTAGCAGTCCAAACAAACTTCTGATGAGTTTTGAAAGGCCGGGCTTCCTTTAGAATGTGAGGTCATATATTATAAAAGTGCATGAGCTATAACGAAGCATGGGGGACAAAGAATAGAGGAGAAAGCACTGTCCTCTCTTTTCATGATAAGCTCCCTGCTTGTTTCCCCTCTTTGGCAGTCCTGTATCAGTGGTGAAAATATGTCCCGGCAGAAATAAGCACATGGATAATTTAATACTTGATCCAACGCAGCAACAGGCAATTCCCAGATGACATTTGTGCTTCAGCCCAAACTATTTCCAGTATGTTTTTCTCTCATTTCATTCAATCATTTAACCCAAAGTAACTGGGGGAGTGGAGGGGGGGTGTCTATGGTATGCCAATTACTCTTCTATAATCCTGATTTCCTTTCCTATTGTAACAACTTGTTTCTTTTCCCCATGATCTCTCCCTTACCCACTCAGACCAAGAGTGTAAAGAAAGGCAAGTTTTGTTTGCTGTATTTTGTGCCTTCCCTAAGTTTTTAAAAGGTGCTGTAACTGTGCAGGTGTTAAACTTGGTTTCAGTACGTTCTATCTCCTTTGCCCCAGGAGTTTCTGGTAGCTGAAGTAGCTGCATGACGTCTTTGGGCTTTTCAGGTTGCAATCTCTTGTTTAGTACTGCATCAGAGGGTAGCTTCAGGATTCCAATGCTAGCAGATAAGGCTTGCTACAATTTTTATCTTCTTGTTCTATATATATTTTTCGGTATGAGTCTTTTCTTCAAAATAAGGGTAGGGACTATATACCACGGTATTATTTTTGTCAAATGCCCTAATTGTCGCTAGGTATATGCAAGATCTATCGAAGCTAGGTATTACAGCTTGCTTTTAATAGCATTCTTAGGCAAAATCAGAGGCATCATTTTGTTTCCTTTACATTGAAGCGATTTAACAAGGTATTCTGGAAGTGAGGGGAATACAAGTTATGCGATCTAATACAAATCCAGACAAGTATTACACAAGTAAAGGGACTCATCAGAAATTTAACATACACTCTAGGGGCACCTGGGTGGCTCAGTCAGTTAAGCGTCTGACTCTTGGTTTCGGCTCAGGTCATGATCCTGTGGTTCATGGGATTGAGCTCTGAGTTGGTCTCTGGGCTGATAGCGTCAGCCCAGACACTCTCTCTCCCTGTCTCTTCTGCCCCTCCCTCACTTCTGTGTGAGTGCACAAGTGTGTGTCTCTGTCTCTCAAATTAAGTAAATAAACATTTTTATAAAATAAAAAGAAAAAAGAAAAAAGAAAAACACACTTTAATTTAGAAGCAGATAACGGCACAATCGTTTCCCATTCATAAAATGATATTTTCATTGAACCAAAAAAAAAAAAAAATCTTTACTGTGAGGTTAAGATTATTCGTAATATCTTCATTGAGGCAGAGTTGAGCAGAATACCAGTGGAAGTCATCCTAAAGCAAGTGCAAAGAGCAGAAAGCAATCCCAAACTGAGCGGACACTAATACTTCTATCCCCACCTCAGTGCCAGGGCTTGTCAACAAAACACCACAAAAGACCTCTGATCCAACGGATCTCAATCCTGGGTATGCAATAAAATCAACTGAAAAGCTTATAAGACTTTTAAGACAATGTTAGTGGCTAGGATTGATCCCAGTCTAAGTGAATCAAAGTCTATTGCACTAAAGAGTTTATATGTAGAGTTTATTTTGTAATAAAAAACGCTTCCAATTAAGTTGACACATTTGATAAATGGCAATATCATCACTGCAATATGCATTAATTTTAAAAAATTATGAAATGAGGTTCTCATGAAAGAACATTCATTGGTTTTGAAATGTTGTTTAACTTTGGGGTGAAAAATCATCTAATTTTGCAGACAGTAGGGGGCTCACCTATGGGAAGGAAGATAGCTGTATTAAGAACAGGTCAAGTTGAGCTCCAGCTCTCTAAGGAAAAATTTCAATGCACAGAAGACAGAGACTGAGCCTTGGAAGTGACCAAAAAGGCGTATGTGTTATCCGGGGACAGGGACCATTTCTTTTATCTCCAATATATATAATTTTGCTTAGTAGAGTTAATGCACAACGACTTTGATGGGAGGATGAATGTGGTCAACTGAAAGGAGTGGTTATCTGAGCAGGGCTGAATTCACTTTGGTCTCAACAATATATCTAACCTTTCAGGGTTCCTCACTGCATTTGCTACCCTGGTAATCCAACACACCATTTATGCTCCCAATATGTCCCTCATATCACTCCCATCATGCCTTTCCTTAATCTCTTGCACATTAACCTCCTCCCAATCTCTTTATTAAGACTGCCTCCTTGAAAATTGATAATGATTTCCTAATTTACAAATTCAGGACCTTCAGGCAATGGCTTTTTCAGATCTTTCTAACCACATGTAGTACAATTGACCACTTTTTCACAGTCCTGTTTTCGTTCTCATTTTCCTATATGCTATTTTACTTGCTTCCCGTCTTCCTGTTTCTCCAAGAACTCAATAATCTCTTTTCCATGCTTTGCCCTCCATCTCCAGCAACTTGTACATTATTCATTTCATACTCAACATGTCCAAAATGATTTATAATCGTTTCATTTCAAAACCAGTTTTCCATTTACTGTAGACTGAATTGTGTCTCTCCCACCAACATTCATACAATTGAAGCCCTAATTCCCAATGACGCTGTGGTGAGAGGACTTTTATAGAAATAATTAAGGTTAAATGAGCCCCTGATATATAGGATTAGTGTTCTTATAAGAAGAGACATCAGGGAGCACACTCTCTTTCTCCATCATATTGGCCATTTGCAAGCCAGGAAGACAGCTCTCACCAGAAATTGGCTGACACCTTGATCTTGGACTTTCCAGCCCCCAGAATGTAAGAAACAAATTTGTTTTTTAAACCACCCAGTCTATTTAATTATGGCAGCTGGGCTAAGACACCATTCCAATTTCCATGTTTCTTTCATTGTATTGCTTTCCCTTAGCAACTCAGACTTAACACTTCACTGTCTTTTTCATCTTAATTCTTTACATCTGGGTATCATGAAAATTTCCCTATATCTTATCTCTTGTATTTGCCTACTTCTCTCCATTGTTCATGTTACTACATTTACCCAGGCATTCAAATGTGGGCTACTTCAGCAATTGACCAGCAGAGTTCTGCTTCTGGAATGGCCTAATTAGCTCACACTGAACCAGCTATCCCTCGAATAATAACTATTAGCACTAGACAAAATACAAAAGCAAATAAACAAGCAAACAAAAATGAATGAAAACACTAGCAAGTAGAAAAAAAAACAGGCAGATTCTGAAGAGGAGTCTACACTTGGAAAAAAAAAAGAAGACATGGAATGAATTTCCTTTTTATGACTTTTGGCCTGAAGGCAGGCCTCAGGCAGGGCTGCTAAAACTCTAAGAGCAAACCCACCATCTTTCTGGACTGCTGAATTAGTGGGCAGAGTCTGGGCAACCTCATCTCTGGAAAAGGAGAGGAGAGTCTCAGAAAGGAAACATCTAATGAGAGGGAACTACAAATTCTGTGTCTAAACGGTCCAAATCTTTGGCTGATCTGGAACCACACATGTGCATAGCTCCATTGCAAATAAGAGAACTAAACTTGGATTTGAGCCGATCCCCAAGAGACAGTTTTAAATGTGAGCCCAACAAATTTTGTTGTTTTGCTAAAACAAACTAACCAACAATCAACACTCTTCAGGTGAATAAGCCAGAATCAAAAGTCTCCACACTGTAACATTCACAA